TCAACTGAAGAGGAACTGTTAATGACTTATGGAGAAAGTTGCAATGGCTGGTCATCACATGACTAAGTTGAACCTCAGGAAACAATTGTCCAGTTACCAGACAAATCTTACCTAACATAAGCTTATATTTTTCAGCTTGTGACAGTACACGCGTCACCTGCTTCACTGATCTTAACTCTGCCGTAAGTCAACTTAACCTCACTAAATTATCACACACAATCTCTGGAAATTCTTGAAGACATTGATAATAATGAAAGTAAAGGAAGTCTTAGCCAAACAAAGTTTTCTATCATTTCTTCCATTTTTGTTGCCCTCAAAATGCTGTTTCTCCTGTACCTAAAGGGGCCGACAAGGCAAAAAAAAAAAAAAATCGCGTTTGTTTGTGTGTATTTCTTAGTAAACTTATGTTCTAGTGCAGTTATCCCCTTCAAAATACCGTTTTCTCTTACTCATAGACGAATGGAGAGGAGTAACTAATTTATATTAAATATTGCAGGTTGTCTCTAGCCATTTTATGGCCTGTTTTACTCAGTTTAGAGTATATAATATGTTTGTATGTTATTTATAATGTTTATTATATCATATTAGATCAATTCTGATAGATAAGTAAGCCGTAGAGTTGACATAAGCTAATAATGAAGTGATTTCTTCTGGCTCTCTGGAGCGGGAATACTGCCGGTGTTCCCAGATGGTTCCTGATTGGCTAGAAGTCTACGGATAAGCTCCGCCTACTGTTTTATGATGCCAAATCGTCAATTATTATATTAGGAAGAATAATGTAAGAAAAAGGGACAAAAAACAAGGAAAAATTCCAAAAAATATATGGCCTGTGAGCAGACTCGCTACCCACATCACCGTCACCATACTTGATGTAAATGACTATAATTTCTTGTAGAAACGTCGTAGAACATTCATTCTGACAGTCAATAAACTTACGCTTAACACTGACAAAACCTACTATATTATGTTTGGTAGCAGAGCAGGAGATGCACAAATTAACATTAAGATCGACAACACTCTAATTACCAGACATAATGAGGGCAAATTCCTAGGCCTATACCTTGACAACAACCTGAACTTCAGCACCCATATCCAACACATAACCAAAAAAGTATCCAAAACAGTTGGGATCCTCTCCAAGATACGATACTACGTGCCGCAAAATGCCCTTCTCACACTATACCACTCACTTATATATCCATACCTCACCTATGCTATTGTGCTTGGGGATCAACTGCAGCAACACACCTAAAGCCAATAATAACCCAACAAAAAGCCGCAGTAAGAATAATCACTAAATCCCATCCCTGGCAACACACCCCCCCACTCTTCATAGATCTAAACTTACTCCCAGTTCAGTACATCCACACTTACTACTGTGCAATCTACATCTACAGGGTCTTAAACTCTAATATCAACCTTGACCTAAAATGCTTTCTTGATAGTTGTGACAGAACCCACAGGCACAACACCAGACACAAACATCTCTACGACATTCCCCGTGTCCGACTAAACCTTTACAAAAATTCAGTGTATGTCAAAGGCCCTAAAATCTGGAACACCCTACCTGAGAACTCTAGAACTGCAGACACATTAATCACCTTCAAAACTACGATCAGAAACATCTTATCTCCCCGATACACCCCGTCAACTAACTACACGAATACCACCCGGGGGGTTCACGTTACACTCACTCACCCATTTGACCATAAACAGAAATATTAATCTCAATCTCAAAATAATGAATCTTAAAATAGTCATAAGTTGGCCTGTGATCCTCCAATACTGAAACTATGTATAGTGCCAAAACAAAAGCATTCACATTGATAAACTCACAAACTAGTATTTAGTCACTTAGCCATAATACCAACTTCCTCATAATTTGTAATATTTTAAACTTAAGATTTAATCTAAGTCTGCCCGAAATGCCTACCATGCTAGGTGTTCTAGTGGTACACTCTGTAATTATTATTTTACTACATGTAAACCACACAATAACCAAATTCTCTAAACTCAGCATTGTAATCCTTATAGAGAATAAACTTTGAATTGAATTGTGATGCCAAAAAGTTAAGCTATTTTTCTATATGAAAAAACTCAATTTCCATAATATTTCTATGTTTTTGAGAGCGGCGAAAAATTTGCCTTGTCGAGTCCTTAAAATTTTCCATCATGTTTATTTTACCTCTTCTTGTTTTAAAGTTTTTTATCAGTATTGCTACTTTTACCTCCCTACTCAAGTTTTCCATACATAAATTCTTTATTAATGTTTGTGGTAATATTAATGGTATTAACTAGACAAGTGTGAGTCAGACTCCAACTTTTCCCAACCAGAGAAAAAAAACTTTCATTGTACGTATATGGGATAGTTTCTACTTAACCCCGAACTTGAAGTATATCTGGAGAGGGTTTTAGGGGGTCAAAAGCCCCACAGCCGGTCTGTGGGCCAGGCCTGGCAGTGGATCACAGCCTAATGTTGGCCTCACGCAAATCGACGTACGAAATACAGCTCAGTTGGTCAGGTACGACTTTAGGTGTGGTACAGTGCCTTCTTGAAGATTTAGGGTATATTTAATTCCCCTTATGTATGATGGGAGGCAGTTGAAACAGTCTTGGGCTACTCACATTTATTGTGTAGTGTTTTAGTGTACTCGTGGGGTCCCTGCCTCTCATGGAGGGATGTTGCACCCCCTGCCGAGTCCTTTGCTTTCGTAGGGGTAATTTTTGTGTGCAACGTCGGTAACTAATCCATGTTGGATTTTTTCCCCTTGTATATTATCACGTATTTTCTCTTTCCTGTGTTCCAGGGAAAACAAGTTAAGGAACTTCTACCGTTATCTGTTATTTAGGAGTTTTATTATACTTAGGTGTGGCCATGGGAAGGTTTCCCTGTACATGTGCCATGAAGGTTCCCTGTACATTTTGCCCATGAAGGGTTCCCTGTACATGATGCCATGAAGGTTCCCTGTACATGTGCCCATGAAGGTTCCCTGTACATGGCCCATGAAGGTTCCCTGTACATGTGCAATGAAGGTTTCCTGTACATGTGCCATGAAGGTTCCCTGTACATGTGCCATGAAGGTTCCCTGTACATGTACCATGAAGGTTCCCTGTACATGTGCCATGAAGGTTTCCTGTACATGTGCCATGAAGGTTCCCTGTAAAATGTGCCATGAAGGTTCCCTGTACATGTGCCATGAAGGTTCCCTGTACATGTGCCATGAAGGTTCCCTGTACATGTGCCATGAAGGTTCCCTGTACATGTGCCATGAAGGTTCCCTGTACATGTGCCATGAAAGTTCCCTGTGCATTTTTCCACGAAGGTTCCCTGTACATATGCCATGAAGGTTCCAATTCATGTACCGTGAAGGTTCCCTGTACATGTACAAAGAAGGTTCCCTGTACATGTACCGTGAAGGTTCCCTGTACATGTACCATGAAGGTTCCCTGTACATGTACCGTGAAGGTTCCCTGTACATGTACAATGAAGGTTCCCTGTACATGTACAGTGAAGGTTCCCTGTACATGTCCATGAAGGTTCCCCCGTACAAGTACCATGAAGGTTCCCTGTAATGTTACCCTGTAGGTTCCTTGTACATGTACCGTGAAGGTTCCCTGAACATGTAAACCCTGAAGGTTCCCTGTCATGCACCATGAAGGTTCCCTGTACATGTACCGTGAAGGTTCCCTGTACATGGCCGTGAAGGTTCCCTGTACATATACTGTGATGGATCCCTGTATGTGTGCCGTGAAGGTTCCCTGTAATGTACTGTGAAGGTTCCCTGTACAGGCCATGAAGGTTCCCTGTACATGGCCAGAAGGTTTATGTACTGTGCCGTGAGGTCCCTGTACAGTACGTGAAGGTTCCTGTAATGTGCAGTGAAGGTTCCCGTACATGTGGGAATGGAAGGTTCCCTGTAATGTTCGTGAAGGTTCCCTGTACATGTGGGCCCTGAAAACTCCCTGTACATGTGCAGTGGGTTCCCTGTTTCATGTGCAGTGAAGGTTCCGTACATGTGCAATGAGGTTCCCTGTACATGTGCAATGAGGTTCCCTGTACATGTTCCATGAAGGTTCCTGTACATATCCGTAAGGGTTTCCCTGTACATGTACCGTGAAGGTTCCCTGTACATGTGCCATGAAGGTTCCCCGTACATGTACTGTGAAGGTTCCCTGTACATGTGCCATGAAGGTTCCCTGTACATGTCTGTGAAGGTTCCCCGTACATGTGCCCTGAAGGTTCCCTGTACATGTACTGTGAAGGTTCCCTGTAACATGTGCATGAAGGTTCCCGTACATGTGCCCTGAAGGTTCCCTGTACATGTTCCATGAAGGTTTTCCCCCTAAAATGTGCCTGAAGGTTCCCCGTACATGTGCAATGAAGGTTCCCTGTCATGTGCCATGAAGGTTCCCAGTTTACATGTGCCCATGAAGGTTCCCTGTACATGTACTGTGAAGGTTCCCTGTACATGTGCCATGAAGGTTCCCTGTACATGTCCCTGAAAGTTCCCCGTACATGTACAGTGAAGGTTCCCTGTACATGATGTGAAGGTTCCCTGTACATGTGCCATGAAGGTTCCCTGTACATGTGCCGTGAAGGTTCCCTGTACATGTACATTTAAGGTTCCCTGTACATGTGCCTGAAGGTTCCCTGTAAAATGTTACAGTGAAGGTTCCCTGTACATGTGCCGTGAAGGTTCCCTGTACATTGTGCCATGAAGGTTCCCTGTACATGTACCGTGAAAGGTTCCCTGTACATGTACCGGAAGGTTCCCTGTATGTGTGCCCAAACGTTCCCTGTACATGTACTGAAGGTTCCCTGTACATGTGCGTGAAGTTCCCTGTACATGTGCCGCGAAGGTTCCCTGTACATGTGCCGCAAAGGTTCCCTGTCATGTACTGTGAAGGTTCCCTGTACATGTTCTGAGAAGGTTCCCTGTACATGTGCCTGAAGGTTCCCTGTTACATTTACCATGAAGGTTTCCCCGTACATGTACGTGAAGGTTCCCTTTACTGTGCATTGAAGGTTCCCTGTACATGTACTGGAAGGTTCCCTGTACATGTGCCGTGAAGGTTCCCTGTACATGTCCTGAAGGTTCCCTGTACAAAGTGCCCGTAAGGTTCCCGACATTCCTGAAAGGTCCCTGTACTGTCTGTGAAGGTCCCTGTAATGTGGTGAAGG